ATACACTGTTTTCCAGGCATCTCCATCAAATGACCTGAGAAGCTATACCTGTTAAATATCTGTCTGGATATAATTCTTTCCAGCCAAAATTTTATTTGAATAGTTATGGATGTTCAACATCTGCCTACCCTAGAACTTCACTGGAGGCCAATTATTACTATTATTGTTGAATACACAGAATGAATAACAAGAGGCAAAGCTGTACCATGGAAAATATAGCAACATTCAATACTTCAGCATAGCCTGTTTCTTTGCTTTTAATTTTCCATGGGTGAAAAGTTAAAAATACAAGGATGGAACTCAATTTTTTTCAGATGTTGTGCTTTAAATAAGTATGATTTATCAACATTTAGTAGTCAATTATTCACAGTTAAGTAAATACATGACTCCTCTGAAGTTAAGAAAAAAGTGGCATTATTTTTCAGCATTGCAGTTAATACTAGAATTTTAGTTGCCAAGGTGCTCTTTCAACCTTCTTTCATGAATGAGGATCCTCTTATCGGCAAGAATTCATTCTACTACAAAGGTCTAGCAATTGATCCTCCATCCAAGTGGTTAAGTCATTTCGATGTTCCCCCAGCCATGCAGCAGCTGCTTATAGATAAGTGAATCCCACAAGCCTCCCAGCAGAATATCTAAAAAGACACACAAGCCATGTCATATTGGCTAACAGGCAGGCAGATACATTTCTAAATTGACAATTAAAGTAAAGAAGAAAAAAGATTCTTGGCACATACAGAATTTCTAAGGATTAACAATAAGAACCAAACTGGAAGACAAAATACAAGGCATTCCTGTTTACAGAGTTGAAACACAATAGGGGAACTTTTTATGATTGAGGGCCACACTTAATTTCTTTCTTTTCTTTTCTTTTTTTTTTTTGAGGGGAAGCCAAGTCTGCAATGGATGGGGTGATGATACAAAGGGAATCTGGACGTTTCATGTCACATTTATTGGCAGGAACATAATTTTCATATTATTTTTAGAGTTAAGGATTTTTTCATTTAGTTTTCATTTATTAAACAGTAATAAACCTATTTTAGCATTTACAATATATTTTTATGACTCTCTCATCAAAGTGGAAGCTAAACAAATAACTGATTTTGGGGATTTGTGCTCCTGGTGCTTTGGGCTCTGTTTAAAAGAGGCTGGGATTTTTAGGCTGTTCCTCTTTACAGCAAATACTTTTGCTATATCATCTTAAAACAGAAGTGTATAATCTGATGTCCTGGAGATACCAACAGCCTTCTAAAATATTGTCTGAATCACCTTGAGCCTCTCCAAAAGATTCCATTAAATTATACTTTTTAAAGATACCAAAAGAGAAATTATAAAAACATGTATATGTTGCAATTGTGTTAAGGTTAAAAAAAAGGTAAATGGTAAAGATTTCCCCTATCCAGTCATGTCTGACTCTAGGGGGTCGTGCTCATCTCCATTTCTTAGCCAAGGGAGCCAGCATTGTCTGAAGATGCTTCCATGAACATGACCATGGAAGTATCAGAGGTGCATGGACATTGTTACTTTCCCACCAAAGTGGTACCTATTTATCTATTTGCATTTATGTGCTTTTGAACTGCTAGGTTGGCAGGAGATGGGACAACAACAAGAACTTACCTTGTCATGTGGTAGTTGAGCCTGCCCTCAGGAACATTCTTCTTACAGAGATTTGGAGAGTACCAACCATTTTGGTTTTTAGGAAAACCTTGAAGACTAGTTATATGCCTGGGACTAGGGTCTTGAGCGTCTGAAAGGTCTTGTTTTCTGAATATGCTAATATCTAGTAATTCTTGGCTACCATATGTATTTAATTCTTCTTTTCGAATTGGGTTTATAATTCTTTTTAAATGATTCTATTATTGTATTCCACCCAGAGTCATTTGCTTGAGATGGACAGTCATACAAATTGAATAAATAAATGAATTCTCCAAAAGCTAGCACTGATACCAATAAGACATTTGGACAATATATACATAACCCGAACTAGACTGTTTCTCTGTGTCATATAATATATGTGGGTATATGCATAATTCTCTATTTATTTATTTATTTATTTTTGTCATATTTTGTAGTATATATCAGAGGTGGTGACCCTTTGAGAACTGAATGCAATGAAATTTCATTTTAATGTATGCTGATTAGTGTACATTCAAAGTGATAATAAAGTTATTCTGTTCTTATTCTATTCTATTCAAAGAAAACAAACACAGATACCTACCCTAATCTTAACTTTTCATCTTTGCAAATGTGTATTCAAATATATTGTTTCTCCCCCATATATTAACTCTAATTCTCATTGGACTAGTCAATATGCATTATGCTGTTTGCACTACAGTTGTTCCCTGTTTGCATTTTATGCAAACATATGACAAAATGTTCGGATATACAGATGTATGTATGTTGGAAATTAAACTGTACTTTCTTGATACCAAGAAAGATCATTACCATACAATTTGATTTTTATGAAAACTATATTTGATTCTCAGACACTTGAAAATATTTTCCATTATATTACATTCTGGAAAATGCTCAACTGATTTGGTTAATGCTGTGGATGTCTCTTAATTTGCCATCTCATGAAGAACTATAGCTATGGAGCGTGCTGCATGGCAAAGAGATAATTTTATGTGAATGAAAAGACACTTACTCTTCTGATTATAAGATATGCAATGAGGATATAACCCTGCTATCTATCTTTGAAAAATCATTGTTCTAATGATGAGAAAATAAAGTAATTTTTTTCTATTTTTAATAAAGATTGGGTATCTTTTATATAGCTATTGATAGTTACTATATGGATGTTTTTCTTTTTTCTATTAAATATTTTTTTTTCTTTCTTTTTTCACACTTAGTATATTTTATTCACCATAATATCTAGTTTTTTTCCCCTGACTATATAACTATTATTATTCTATTTTTTCTGGTGGTGCTATAGGTTGTCTTTCGTTATTACAAATTAATTAAATAATACTGTTGATGTTTCTAAAGTAGCTTTCTTGTTTTCCAAGATTATTAGTTCCTTAATAATAAAAAATTGCTTTGGGAATTTAGAAATGGCAATACTGTTTTCTAGAAACTTTGCAGATAATTACATTTACCATTAATCTTATTTTATTCTGTCAGGTTTTTATAACGCAGCTGCAATCATAACTAATACACTTCAGTTTTTGTACAAATATTTGAACTAAATTTTATAATATCCTAAACGATTAAACTCAAATAATAAAATGTTTTATTCAATACATACCATATAATATAAAAGCAGCTTACATCTATCATTTAAGCAATTAAACAAAGAAAACAAAGAAAATAAGCAAACAAAACAAAACAGAATTAGCTGTTCCAGAAACTTAAAACTTTGGCATGGGAACAACTGCTAAGGGTCACTTGTTCTGGTAAAGTCAAAAAAGCAGTAGTAAAGGAGATAAACCCAAAGTTCTGGAAAAGCACTGTACACATAAAAGGAAACCAACTAAAGCAAGAAAAGAAATTCTAAAATGAAACCAAAGGAATGACAACAGCTAATCACTCCTATAAAAATAGTACAGTATGCACATTGCTGAAATATTTTGACAACTTCAGGTACCAAATTATGAGAGACACCACTATAACAACCTCAGTCAAAAGTCACTCATGCATATTAAATTTAACTTTCATAAGTATTTCTGGAGATGTTGACATAATTAGAGCAAAGGCCCAGAAAAGTTTGATCACTCATGGTACCAGCATTGAAAAAAAAAAGTTCTTTATTTTATGAGGATGTATTCAGTTAGAACCTGGAATGTAAGCAGTATGGATCAAGGAAAGTTTTAAATTATTAAATGAAAAGGAAGCATATCAAGTGGACTGTTTTGGAAAAAGTAGATCTGTTACTTTAATTCTGATTATTACTTCATATATTTGGGCATGAAGCTATATGATGGAATGGAACGTCAACAATACCTACTGCTAATATTTTTTCAGTTATAGTGCAATAGATGACAAGATCCTATTGATAAGAATGAGTAGATATTCTTCTACTCAAAGGTAATCATGGTAGCTAATGGTAGCTAATGAAGGCAAGTGGAAGTAAAATAAGTTTGCAAGGCTACACGGAAATATTTACAAATAAAATTATAGGATAATATTTGAAATAATGTTATTCCAGAATCAACTCCACTAGAAAATGAGGTTTGATGGACAATGAGCAGATATTAGAAAATGGATTCAGCAGAAAGATAAAAGTCAAAGAATTATAGGACTATTTCTGGAAGAGCTCTGGCTTAATGGGAATGAAAAGTCAAGATGATAAACACTAACCTTAAATTAACTCTGGATATTATAAATTTAATAAATCATATAAAGAGTGAATAAAATCCAAACACATATTAAAACAATTAAATCCTGGTTAAAAGAATTAAACAAAAAAGGGGGGAAAGCTATTCAATTTGACTTCACAAAAGCTTGCCTCTGAGGGAAAAAAAACCACTGAATAGAGAATGATAACCTCTCTAAAGAAAAGTGTCAAGTAGTGAAAATATCGTTTCTTTGAACCAGGTTACTGGCAGAACCATTAAAAAAAAAAAAAACCAAAAAACAAATTCTTCTAGTGGATCTCAGTAAGGCATACTCATTCAAGGCCATTTAGAATTTTATAACAAGGAATTTGAACTATGTCCAGAAACAGAAAGACAACTAAATGAATGAGATTGACCTTGATTATATAATTTACATTTTGAAACTTAAAAAATACACATTAATGTCACCATCAATACACATTTTTGTTTGGAAATCCAAATTAATACACAATAGAAAGAAATCACTGAGAAACACCTGAAAATGTGTATATTCTGATTGTCATATAATGCAAACTGTTCTAACTATGGTGTGCTAATTTTTATAACTTTCTGTAAAATTGCATGACAAGCTTATCATTTTATAATCTCATCAACCTGTATTTTATAACATTAGGATTTTAAAAATGTTTCAAGGCTTTCTTTTCTACTATGCTCTGTACTTACCAGTAGGGACAGCTGGATCCATTGTTGGTTTTTCCCAGGTATTAATCTGCTCCCAAGTAAATCCATTGGTCCCTAGTGCCACGCTATAACCACAGTTACTGTAATGTTCATCAAACGAACAACCACCTAAGGAGAAAAGAAATGAATAAATACTTCTGACATAATTACTTCTATATCATCATGTTACTCCATTTAAATCACTGCCTGTTATACAAACCCTACAAGGTAAAAATAAAATAAATTTCTACTGCATTAGGTTCATGCAGTTGCCTTAAGAGAATGTAGCAAAGATTTCTAGATTTTTAATGCATATTTGGAACATATGGAATTACCTTTTTAAAATTTAATATTTTTGGTTCCTTAGATTACTTTTTGAGCCACAGTGTTAAATCTTTATAGTCAAGAGAGTGGTGTCATATGTCAAGCATTAACCTGAAGATTTGTGTTCATGTCTCAGTTAACTGTCCTCTAGGCATTGTACAGTAAAGCCTAATGTTAATAAAAGATCCTGTACAGTGGAAGAAGACAGCTTCATCTTTGGATAAGCAGCACATTAAAGTTTGACATTCTTCCACCACCTTCATTTTAGTTAGTAAATGTAAAGGCAAGAATGTTAATTACAAATGTTTCAGATGTATCTTTCTATGATCAATTCTCATTCCTTTCCTGGATTCTGATTGGCATCTAGTTGGCCATTATTAGATGTAGGACCAGATAGGACTTTTGGGTCCAACCCTATTTTCACAGTGACCTAACAAATCTATGCAGTAAATTTATATGAAAATCTGAATGCAGTAGTTTTCCTCCATGATCAATTATCACAACTGTAGGAGGAAAGACATCTTTGTCTACAGTAGCAGCAGAAGGTCTCTGATAGCACTTTTTCAGACTAATAATTTTTTATTAGCAGGCATAGACTTGTTGGGAGTCAGACAGCCTATAAATTCAGTAGATAAATAAATAAGCAAGCTTGCTTCATAAGCTACAGGCTTCTTCCTAAGATGCATGGAATAGCAACTGATGTAGGATTTATATTGGGATGAGAAAAGGGGAAGGGCAAGGAGAAGAAAAGTTATTATGAGACAGATTAATTTATAAATAATTATGTGTAAGAAACCATTTTTTCTAAGATATTTTGAGACAGCCTGAGTTCAGTAAACTTTCATTCACTGGTATGGTTAAAGTCTCATTTTTCAAAAATGAACACTTTGAGATCTGCAGTTGTATGCAGGACAAATGGACAAAGTTGGTGCAAAAGAATTAATGGACATAGTGTTGTCATCAGAACCTAGAATCAGGATAAAGTAATATCAGAACATTTCAACCTCCAAGAACACTGTTGCAGATCTCCCTGAAGAGTGCAGAGAAAAAATACAGTGCATTGCCAGAAGATATAAGTCCTCCTTTCTTTTATTTTCTTTTTTTTTTACAAATTTTATTGGTTTTTTTAATTTTTACATCAAGGTGCTTAGGAAACAACGTGGTGATGGGGACATCAATCATCCAAAAGCAAAATCATACATATATAATTCAGGTTAATTCATTAAAAGTTCCCTCTCTATTTCCCTCATATAATATTACATATTCAGATTGATACATTTCTAAATAGAGTTCAATCAATCAAATCAGTCATCAATCACATTCCAGTTATAAAGATCCAAATCCTGTTTTTAAGCTTTACTAATTTACAATTACCATATTCCAATTAGCCTTGAATAAACATATTATTAACACTTTGGGTATCCCTCATGTCCCTTTTCCCTAACATAATAATTATATTTAAAATGAATATATTATTTCAACAATAACATTCTTATATTTTCCACATGTAATCTATTTCTTAATCTAATAAATCATTTATTGATACCATTTCGTCTTTTATCACAAATTCCTCTTATTCTCCTTCTATTACAAAATAATTGTCTTACTTAAATAAAAGTATCAGTCCAAAAGTTATATTCCTATCTATTAAATATATATTCTATCAATCCTCCTTTCTTAATAAATAGAGGGAAGGCAAGCTACCTTAGGGAAATCACTAGTCTTTGCCTTTGTTGTATAAGCCTGCCTAATGTGTATAAGAAAAAAAATCATAACAGAATGCATCCAACCCACCATCCCAATTCCTTTTCTCCCCTAAGAAATGGTTTTAATCATCGGACATGGTAATTATAATATAATTTGCTTCCTCTTCCCAAAAGACACTCAATATGAAACTCTTTTCACTCTGTAAATTTCAGAAAATACATAGCACAAATTAGTATTGCTGAAAGAAACCACTGACTTGTTCTGCTATGTTCAATGCCAAGGATGGGCTGAATAGAGATGTGATTTGACCTCTTACTCCTTGCTGAGAGCCACATGTTTGATCATACACAATGTAAGTAGCCTAGAGTGGCAGTCCATTGTTATTGGACAACAAAAGTGTGTCAACAGAAGGGCCCTTCAAGGTTTCTCAATTCAGAATTCACCATCTGCTTTATTTTCTGTAAGAAAATAAAACCATTCTCTCATACCTATGATGTATTCTAACTGTGATTCCTTGATGCACAACCCATTTCTTTCTCTATCTGGTGAACTAAAACTATTTCTGGCTGACATTTCCAGGAATTAAAAAGAAAAAAAAAAAAACCAATTGCTCATGGCTACTTCTTGTAGCTTTTGAGGAAAAATAATTATGAACTTTTTCAGACGGCTGGTGAAATTTTGAACAAATGAATTAATCAGAAACTGCACCAGAAATAGAGGAGAAAACACCCTCAGAAAAGAGATAGGACTGGCAATTATGTTGCAGCTTTATCTTTTATATGCTAGGTTGAAATATTTTAACAATAAAATATTTTAATAAATAAAATAAATGTGCTATTTAAATTTATGTATTTATTTATTTTTAAAAAACCATATGGCTCCCAGCTCATACACAATGACTCATTCACAGTTAAAATGCACAATTTAACCCCACACTACCCACCCCCACACCATGGGGGCAATAACAGAATTAATCAATTTATGGGGTCCCAAGTCCACTGACAAAACTATGCCTTCAAGACTTTGGAGAAAAGCCACAAGGTAGGGGTCAATCTTATCTATGGGGAATGACATTCCAAAGGGAGGGACCACCACAAAGAAAGCCCTTTTCCTGGTCCCACCAGATATACTTACTTGGGACCTGTAATGCTTTCCTGCTCTGGTGGGCTGGATAAATATAATTGGGGAGAGGCACTTTGTCAAATAACCCAAGCCTTGTAGGGCTCTAAAATAGATAACCAGCATTTCATATTGTACCTGGAGCCAAATCAGCAACCACTGCAGCTCCCACAAAAGAAGAGATACATATGCAAATTTTTTCTTACACAAAACCATGTGAGCCACTGCCTTCTGAACAAACTGAAGCTTCCAGATGCTCATGGCTGCCCCATGTAGACTGTGTTACAATAATCCCAATGGAGGGCACAAAGGTGTGTCAAAGACATATCCAAATAGAGGGTGTTTGTTGTTTATTTTTTACTTCCTTGTTGTTGTTAATTGCGAAGTTGTGTCTGACCCATCGCGACCCCATGGACAATGTTCCTCCAGGTCTTCCTGTCCTCTACTATCTTCTGGAGTCCATTTAAGTTCACACCTACTGCTTCAGTGACTCCATCCAGCCATCTCATTCTCTGTCGTCCCATTCTTCTATTGCCCTCAATCTTTCCCAGCATTAGGTCCTTCTCCAGTGAGTCCTTCCTTCTCATTAGGTGGCCAAAGTATTTGAGTTTCAACTTCAGGATCTGGCCTTCTAAAGACCAGTTGGGGTTGATCTCTTCTAGGAGTGACCGGTTTGAATGCCTTGCAGTCCAGGGGACTCGCAGGAGTCTTCTCCAGCACCATAGTTCAAAGGCCTCAATTCTTTGGCGCTCAGTTATGGTCCAACTTTCACAGCCATACATTGCAACTGGGAAAACCATGGCCTGGACTATACGCACTTTTGTTGGCAGGGTGATGTCTCTGCTTTTTAGTATGCTGTCTAGATTTGCCTTTTTTTTTTTACTTCCTAGTAGAATCTAAATTTCTGCTATTTTTCTGACAACTTCACATCTTATTAGCGAATACTAAACTATTTCCCCCCCCCCTTTATGGATTACTGCCTTGTCGTGACGAAGGGGCTTGTGTAACTCAATGAAGCTATAAGCTATGCCATGCAGGGCCACCCATGACAGACAGGTTATAGCAGAGAGTTCTGACAAAATGTGATCCACTGGAGAAGGAAATGGCAAACCACTCCAGTATCTTTGCCATGAAAACCCCATGGACAGTACTAAAAGGCAAAAAGATATGACGCTGGAAGATGAGCCCCTCAGGTCGGAAGGTGTCCAATATGCTACTGGGGAAGAGCAGAGGGCTAGTACTAGTAGCGCCAGAAAGAATGAAGCGACTGGGCCAAAGCCGAAAGGACGCTCAGCTGTGGATATATCTGGTGGTGAAAGGAAAGTCCGATGCTGTAAAGATTTTTTCTCCATAGGAACCTGGAATGTAAGATCCATGAATCAAGGCAAGCTAGACGTAGTCAAAAAAGAGATGACAAGACTGAACATCGACATCTTAGGAATCAGCGAACTAAAATGGACAGGAATGGGTGAATTTAACTCAGATGACCATCAGGTATACTACTGTGGGCAAGAATCCCTCAGAAGAAATGGAGTAGCCTTTATAGTCAATAAAAGAATAGGAAAAGCAATACTGGGATACAATCCTCAAAATGACAGAATGATCTCAGTTCGAATCCAAGGCAAACCATTCAATATCACAGTAGTCCAAATCTATGCCCCAACCACTGGTGCTGAAGAGGATGAAATTGACCGGTTCTATGAAGCCCTACAGCACCTTATAGAATTAACACCCAAAAATGATGTCCTTATCATCATGGGGGATTGGAATGCTAAGGTAGGAAGCCAAAAGATAACCGGAATAACAGGCAAGTTTGGCCTTGGAGTACAAAATGAAGCAGGGCACAGGCTAATAGAATTTTGTCAAGAGAATACGATGGTCATAACAAACACTCTTTTCCAACAACCCAAGAGACGGCTCTACACATGGACATCACCAGACGGTCAACATAGAAATCAGATTGACTATGTGCTCTGCAG